TATACAAACTTTAGTTATGTGACACAATTTCAAGCATAATTTATTGTCAAGGATTGAAATTTTATGTTCAACATTGCTGCATTTATTCATCATTATGTCCTTTCAAGCTTTGATTTGCGTCAGTTAGACTTGCAAAACTCAGATTAATAAATCTTTCAAAGTGTTTATATACATTTGGAGAGAAACATTTTCTTAGCTTACTATTTCCTGAGTATTTGCTATTTAACAGAACGCCTCAAACACTCAACGTTGCAAAACTGCATATAAGTCACCTTTACGAACACTCACATCTCGGAGAATTATGTGTACAAACACCCGATTTCTAGGAATCATAAGGAAAAAAAACCGTCTGCATACACTAAAAAATGGCCCGCGTCTCAACGCTAACACCCAAAATTCGTCCTATATTCCACATAAATATCCCAACTTGCCTTACAAATACCAACAGAACTTTACAAGCTATATTTTGATACGAGTATGTGCCATTTCCGAATAGCTCTTTTTGAGAAATTTTTCGTTGCAAACAAGTAAGACCAATCCAAATGTACAAATATATATCTACTAATAGCTAAAAGATCTTCATAAACACATCCATAACACTCAACTCGTCTTCAGTAACACTTACATCGAGATCCAATCTACTGATTGATTTATGATTACATCAGTTTGTTAAGCATATTTTTATCAAAATTTACTTCAAAATATCAAATGAATTGTCAAGTAAACAACGATTTTAAAATAAGGGGAAACTGCATAAAAACATTCATCGACGTTCATACACAGATGAAATTCATTTATTGACAAACAATTCGAGATATTGTATTATGAATTTCAATTGAAAAATCTCAAAAGTGTAAATACCATGATTTTCAATCAGAAAGTTTGATCTATTTTTAAAATTTTCTTTAGATTTTTGACTCTGCATCACCAGATTTTTTGAAGCCTATCAAAAAAAATATGTTTTTAATGTAAAGCGTTGCGATAGTATTGTACTTCTACACTTAAGAAGGTATATATAGATAGGAGTCAGTTTAAAACGTGAGCGCGCATCATTTTGAATTACAAATTTGAGATAACAGTTGAAGGGAAAACGCTGTTATTTATATTTTTCAGATTTTTTTTATGTAAAATTCATAACAAAATATCACGAATTGTTTTTCAATAATTGAATTATATCTGTGTGTGAGTGTTTATGAATGTATAATGAATACTATCGATCCGGTGAAGTTAACGCTTTTCAACATTAATGAATGTTTTTATGCATTTTTTCCTTATTTTAAAATCGTTGTGTACTTAAAAATTAATTTGGTATTTTGAGGTATTTTCGATACAAATATGCTTAAACAACTAATGTAATCGTATATCAATCAGTAGACTGCGTCTTTCTGTGGATGTTAATGAAGACGAGTTGAGTGTTACTGATATATTAATAAAGAACTTTTAGCTATTAGTGGGTATATATTGCCACATTTGGATCGATCTTACGTGTTTCCAATGAAAAACTTCTCAGAAAGAACTGTTCCGGGATAGCACATAGTCGTGTCATAATGTAGCTTAATAATCTGGACATACTGATGAACAATTCACATTTGTTGTTTTTTAAAATTTTGTCTCTATCGATGTACGAGATCAGAAAGTGAACGAATGAGTATTTTACGAATAACATTTTAGAAACCTTAATTCTACAGTTTTGAAATGGAACAAATTTTTACAGGATTGAAATTTGATAATGACACTAATTAGTCTTGTTGTGGTTCACATTGTCATACTAGAAAAAATGTGATGACTATTAAGTCTCAAATGAGCTAGTAGACTTTCTATCAGATCCAAATAGTTTCTCATCGTACATAAGTGACTAACAGTAACAATAACAAATTTTGTTATTTTCACCATAGCTTTTAATACTACTGATATTAGTTATTGCATTGATGCGTTTTCAGCATAACTGAAACTTATTTCTAATGTATGAAATATAGATAAATAATGTGTTTCACATTCTGTCGATTTCAACATTTACATGTAAATGATTAGAATACTCAATATGAAGAGAGTTTCAATCTACTGCTATTATGGCAGACACTTTAATACTGGAATAGATTTCAATAATTGACTAAGAGATCCTTGTTCTGACTGGTCATTAAGAGAGATTTTAGCATTGATTATAAAAAGTCAATTGATATTTTCACCATTCATTACAAGTATACTTGAATGATATGAAAATCATTGGTATTCGCTTGCTTGTTTGCTGGCGCTTACTGTTTTCTTCTCTTAGTATAATATCACTTAATACAATGGTAGATACTTTATTTTGTCTCTCTCTTTGAGAAGAAACTATTGAGAAACTGCAATTTTCTTTAGGGAAAAAAAATGGATCATCCGGGATAGACTTCTAAAGATGGCGGAATAGGGCCCTACTATCCACAATTTCTTGATTACGTTGCTACTTCTTTCTTTGTTTTTCTCTCAGTTGCTTTCATTGAATTCTTACTATGGCTACTTTCTGTCAAATGGTAATCTGTGAATCAGTATTCGCCATAGTTGTGTTAGTCTTATTGTGAAGAACTCTCTATATTTTTAATATTGTTTCAGTTAAAATATCTGAATCTTGAGGTGCGTAGGTATATCTGAATATAATATTCACCAATGAAATTTAAAGTATACTATCGTTTTTTAAAGAATTTTCGATTATCTCTTTATTTTTCGTTGACTTTCAGTTGAGTATCCTTGAACATAAATATTCTTTTGTTTTAACCCTTTACCTTC